CTGTTGCTTTTTACAGATCCAGACTAACACGGCTACCCCTCTGATAATTGAAATCTCAGTTATACATGTAAATGTTTGCAGGATTGGATCCATATGAATTCAATTCTGCAAACCCATACTTATGTGAGTAATTCTGTGTGTATAAGGGCTTCTTGGACGAGAAAGATTGTGTGGCTTTGAGGTGCAACAGCCTGTCTTGCATTCTTTACTTGTGCAATTTTACTAGAATAAATTCTTTGCAGTCATTAGGTGTACTTATGTGAGTAAAGGTTGCAGGATTGAAACCTATGGATTTAATTCTGCAAGTGGTTTTCTCTCAGAACTTCCAGAATCCACATTAACTATAATTCCCTTGCTCTGTGACTGAAGTGTGTGGCTGGTTGACATATTTTTAAAACCTTGGAGTGCTGGGGTCAAGTTCCATCCCAGTCCCTGTTCTTGGACTGGGTTATGTACTCCCATTTTCCCCAAATATTGTTGTTTTTAGGAGGTCTTACTTAGAATACTACAGTACTAATTTTGGAAAAATTATAGGTGCTTTTTTATCTCCGTGAACATAATACACAGATCCTGTTGTGACACCCTGTGAAAAAGAACCATTTGAAATTGTAAAAGTATCAGATTCTGTACAGATTGTTCTCATGCTGCTAGGTAGCTTCCACAATATGATTAACTCCTCTCTGCACATAGGCCCACCCAGATGCCCAAAGGTATTTAAGCTCCTGAGTTTCATCCTACCACCTGTGTGGATCTGGACCCTAGACTTCATTGTGCCTTATTTGGGACTGCTGTCCTTACCTAACCCAGAGCTTCCTGGAAGCGCTGAATGTTCACACACATCATTTCAGTTGAATTTTTTTTTTTATATAGGAGTTAAGATCCTAAAATCTTCACTTACCACTCTGAATATATTTTGCAATGACCCATTTCCAGCAGGTGGAATCTTCTAGCACCATTCAGCTGATAGGTTGCTGCTAGATTTTGCAAATGAAATTCCAAGAGCTTTTGTTGGAATATGTTTTTGTTACAAGAACCATTATTAAAAATGCTGCTTTTTGGGGTACAGCATCATTTCAAAAGTAAGGAAAAATAATACTGTTCAATGTAGTATTGAGGGAAGCAAACGGTCTAAGTAAATTATACTGTGACATCTCAAAAACTGTGCCCAAAAACATCAGTTGTCACCTCTTGTAAGTTTGAGGGTGATTTTCAAAATTCAAATGAAAACATGGACCAAACTGCCACCTATATGGGAAATCACAGCATAGGGGATTATAAACTCTGATTCCATGTCTGTGCTAGCCAAATGACTTGTTAGTGACAATGGGTGTTAGCTGTGGGTGCAGCTAACCACTGTTTTGCTGCCACTGCAGACAAGGAGAAATGGTGTTGAGAACTGCAGCACAGTGGTTTTCCCCCAAGGGTACACATACCCCTGGTTGTATGCAGAGGTCTTCCAGGGTGTACATCAACTCATCTAGATATTTACCTACTTTTACAACAGGCTACAGAAAAAGCTCTAGTACAAACTAAAATTTCATACAGACAATGACTTGTTTATACTGTTCTATATACTATACACTGAAATGTAAGTACAATATTTATAATCCAGTGGATTTATTTTATAATTCTATGGTAAAAATGAGAAAATCAGCAATTTTTCAGTAATAGTGTGCTGTGACACTTTTGTATTTTTATGTCTGATTTTGTAAGCAAGTAGTTTTTAAGTGAGGTGAACCTTGGGGTATGCAAGACTAATCAGACTCCAGAAAGGGGTCTGGAAAGGTTGAGAGCCACTGCTGTAGCAGGATGTGTGGATGACCTCTCTTTCTGAAGTGGTGCTGAACATGGTTTGTTTGTGCCTACACTTGTAAAAGCTATTTTTGGTGCTGGTTGTGACATTTGTTGTCCGCAACAGGTTATTTTGCTCATGAAGACAAGGCTATAGTTTGCTAGCTCAGAGTTTCCTCTGGTTGTATGTGTTGGTAGGATTGCTGTAGAATGAAGGGGAAGTTCAGGCCACAGAACCCAGGGATCTGGGGTTCATTTGTACTGGAGGCATGTGTGTCTTGTTCTATGGTCCCCAGGGCAGCCATATTCCCATGGGCTTTGTGATTGCTCTTGCCCTGCTTTCCTCCTGTGTGCCATGAAAACTTGCCTGAGGGGTTTCTGGGGCAGCGGCCTGCAGGGCAACCCAAGAGCACTACTCCTCTAGGCACTGGCTTCCATGGATCTCCTGAGATCTTCAGACTTGCCAGTTCTTGTGGGGCCAGAGCCCCACCCTGATGAAAAGCTGCAACAGCTACTCTGCAAGTGGGAGCTTTCAGAATTTCCTGCCCTGCTGAGGCTATGTACTAGCACAGGAGATTATCTGTCCCCTTTGCTCAGATCCACAGCAAGTAGAAATAAAATAACAGCCACATATCTTTGAAAAATCTTCTTCCTATCTTTGCCCGAGCGTGACCGTATCAGCTGAATGCAGCTGACCCTGGCTAGAATCTTTGATGAGAATGATGTCATTTTAGCCAGTACTAAGAATTTAATTCCTGTGCCCCTGCTGGAAACAGAAGATATATTTGTTTATGGCTGTACCATTTTACAAGAGTGTGTTGTGTTACCCTCGTAACCTAACTGAAGTTTGCATGGCTGTAAATGAAGGTAAATGTTGTCCCACATTGTTTCATAGCATCTCTTTCCTCTATACCACTCAGAATGTTATTTCCCCCTTTCATGTCCTGATATTAATAGTCATGAGTTGTTGGAATATGTTGTACGCCCCTTAGTTTGGGACCAGTGGATAATTTCCCTTGTAATTGTAATCATTGTCTAACTAGAGAGTAGACACAGAATAGTTGTTCTTGTTTCCAGGTTGCATTGAGAAGGCAGCAGGCCCAAGAAGAAGAGCTGGGGATCAGCCATCCCATCCCTCTGCCCAGTGCCCCAGAGCTCTTTGTTAAGAAGGAAAACAATGGTGGCAGCTCCTGTTTATTGTTGGAAAGCAGCAGCCCGACACATTCAACAAACACAGCAACTACAGCATCCACCACCCCATCAGGTAAGGGAGTGGGGAGAAGGGGGGGGGGGTTCTGGTCACTCTAATGAAGAGAGCTGGTTTCAGAGAGATGCTGGTTTTTGTTTTCCATGCTTGTTACAGCTGCAGCGACAGGGCTGCTGTGTGTTTCCTTCTCTTTTCTTTCCCACAGAGCAACATTGCTGTAGAAAGAAGTCTGACAGAAAAGGTGTGTGTGGGGGGGAAGGGGAATCAGCAAACAATTTTTCATATTTTTTTCTTTTTTTTAAAAAATGTGGATATCAAAATGGAAAATTTCAGAAACCATCAGCCAGCTCTTCTACTGTATATATGTGTAGGTGTGAAACAAGTCTGCAGACTTAATGCTATCATTTCCATTCATATCTGGGATTTAAAAGAGTTCTCTCAACGCCAGTGTGGCTGAAAATGAAGCCACTTGGGCCACATCCACAGCTCATGTAAATCATCATAGTTCCCTTGGCGTCAGTGGAGCAACGCTGATTTACACCAGCTGAGGATCTGATGCTTTGTCTTTACAAAACCTGACATAATTAGAAATACCAGTTGGTTATAAACAAAAGTGAAACCAGCTTCACTGACTTCCATTGTCCCAACTGAGAGAGATGAAAAAGCAAATGAACACAGTGAGAAGGAAACTGGATTTTTGTTTAGGTTTAGTAACCAAGGAGATGTTAGTAACATAGATAAAGCAATTTGTTAAAAATATGTTTGTGAAATGGACGTTGTCCCACTAACTAACTAAAGATCAGTGTGCTTCTATATGTCAGCCAGCCGGCACCATTGCCTGCTCCAGTACATTTAGAGCTTAGTTCCTGCACCTGCCAAATGGAATTGCTATATCCCGCGTTGACCAGGCAAGCCCTCTGGGTCCAATCCTTGTACGCACAGAATGGCAGTTCCATGATTTCCGTGTGTTAAGAGGGCATTGTTTTGGGTTGTGTTTAGAAAAATTGTTTGTTGGAATTAACAGATTCTGTTTTCATTCAGACAATTCTTTTAAGATCATCTTTGGTTGACCATGAGCCCTTTCATAAAAAGAAATTTATTTGGAACACTGGGTTTTGTTTGTGGTGGGGAAGGCTGGTTAAGGATTAAAACAGCTTGTAAAATCACTTACAGAGATTGTGGTTAATTCAGACAAAAGAGGGGAAAAACTTACTCCAATAAATCAAAAAAATGAGATCAAGTTGCAATCAGTGAAACGTTCAGAAACTTCAGTCTCAATGGATATAGAATGGAGTATTTAACCTACTCAGTTTTTACTACAATAAAAATGTGCATTCAACACCCTTGGCAATATTATAAAAATACACAGATCCATAAAAAGATCCTAGGAGAACTTTATGCTGGACTAAAAAATGTAAAGTGTAAATATTGCCAATTTCAAAATCTTTAGAAATATTTTTAAAATTTTAGTAAAGGACTAATTAATTATAAACATCTTTCAGCCCACTATTTTTTTAAGTGGAGTGTCTTTGTCAGTGTGTCAGGTAATGATGTTCTTCAACATAATAGCTCCATGTTCTTCTTTAGCAGTTTAATAAATAGCACAATGTAGGCAGTAGCATTGATAATATTGTGCTTAGACCTTTGCAAAGTAGATGCATTTCCAACAAAGGACAAAATAGGGGTCAGCATTCGTTTGCCAGAAATGAATTCAGAAATCATGTACAGCATCTGGGAATGAAAACTTGGGCTGAGATTTTCAAAAATAGGAGCCTATGTCCATATTTAGGCACCTAAATAAGGCCCCGATCCTATAAACACTGACACATATCCATAACTTCAAGCACATGCATAGTCACATTAGTGAACTCCTGGCCCAGTTGAAGTAATTGGGAGTTCTGCCATTGAGTGCAGTGACGTACTGTTTTCACCATTGACTTTGATGTGACTACTCGTGTCCTTCAAGTTAAGGACACACATAAATATTTGCAGGATTGAGGCCCGAGTGGCCTGATTTTCAGCATTGTGCACCTGGCTACTCCTACAGAAGTTGCTCTTCAGCACCTTTGGAAATTAGGCTTCTTAGCTGCCCAAATAGAGATGTATGCACCTAACTTGGTCTTTAGCTCTTGATAGAGTCCCTCAGTTATATATTACGTCTGTGCACGTTTTCCTCCCTAGATGCAAGTACCGAGAAGCACAGGTATATATGTCTATATTAATATATATAGATTAAACTTCCTTTGCAGGGGATCTTTATATGGTTAAGATGACGCCAGCCCTAGTATGAGAGCTGCAGAGAATCTTCCCCTTTGCAATCTAGGGTGCTTTCAGGTATCCTGCACTTGTGTTTAATCTGTTTAATATTACTCTCAAGCGAGAATTTAATAAGTCACCTGATTTGGAGACGAAATGAGTGGATTGCGTGTTAATGAAATAAGGGGACAATGGGGTTGTGGAAAAGCAAGACAAAGGGGGCAGCGGTAATGAAAAACTCCACTTTTAAAAATAAAGAGTCTAGGAATCCAATTCCGGTGACCAACCATATCATGAAAGACCCAAAGCCTTCAAACGTGCCATGTGAATGAAATATAATGATGGCTCATGGTGAAGCCACTTGGGTGGCCACACTCCTATTTTTAGTGCACTAGCTTGCGGAGAGTTAGCATGTCTGTCCACCCACACTGGGAAGCTCCGTTCCAGCTGCGGTGTAGACATACCCTTAGAAAGGTAGCAGGCCCTGCCTCACTCTCATGAAAAGGAACTGCAGGGGTTGAATAGGGCTGGTTCACAGCAACCTGGCGAGTGGGCCCTATTTTGGAGGTGGTGATGTTATGCCCCAGAGTCTAAACTTTCACTGAAAATAAAAATGAAGTCTTTAGCTCTGACAGTTGAAAAGATAACCTTGCAAATATGAACGGAATATAATTGATGGAGTGGTGCCTGCCTGAGTCTGCAGGCAGCCTGAGCTCTGAATTCTGAACTGCTCCCCTTCATCTCCTTGGCGTTAGGGAGAGAGATTGCAGGATGACCCTTCCCCAAGGAATGTGGGGGGAGGAGAGGAGGTTGGTCAAAGAAGGGAGCAGAGACAGAGGAGATGGCCCAACACACCACTGCATACAGCCCTTCCCCGAAGACAAAAGCCCTGTTAGTGCCCCACTGTGCTAGATCCTGTACAAACACATAGTAAAAGTTAGTCCCTGGCCACTCTATATAGATGAGACAGACAAAGGATGGAAGGGGCAACAGAGACACAGAGTGAAGTGACTTGCCCAAGGAAAGGTCATACAGTAGGTCAGTGTCAGAGCTAGGGTTAGAAGCCAGGTTGGCTGAATGCAGTCCTGTGCCCTCTCCACTGGAACATGCTGCCTGACCTTTCACAGGGCCTTGTTTGTATGTAGATGCAGCTCTTTGGAAAACAACCATCTACAGTAGTAGTCAATGCTGACTGAGTCAAACCGTGCCCTGAGCTGGAGGCAGACTGCTTTCATTGACAGCCAGGAGAACAACGCAGACCCCCAGGAGGACTCCTGTGAGGACAAAACTCGCTCTAACATTAGTATATAGTACATAGGAGGTCATAGTGACAATAGTTAATTCTATTCCTTATGCAAGCTGTTGGCTTTAAAGGCTTAGTAATTTTTCTTTTGAACTTCATCACACTGCACATAGTTTGTGTGTGAAGGAGTCACACAAATCATATAGGGTGCCAGGGAGAGAGGGACTTTCCTCATTGTATCTATTTTACTGGCATGTCAGAAATATTATGACACCTTGAGAAACCAGAGACAATTTTTCAGACCTCTTGCAACACGCCATTTTTGGAAAAGAGGAAAAATGAAGTGAACTGGTGCTAGAACAGCAGCTTGCCCATGTACTGTTTCATTCTTGGTGACAGTGTTTAGATTGAAAGGTGCGTCTTATCTTCCAGAATCAGAAAGAAAATAACCCTGGGAGTTTGCAGGACAGTTGGCAGGAGTAGCATGGGAGCAAATGAAACAATTTGGGCAGGACACATAATGAGATCTGCTTACAGAAGTTCTGTGTTACTGAGCGATTTTCCTGAAAAAGTATCATCTGGTTTAACTGTAGTGCACAGATATTGTAATGCTCAGTAAAAAGCCAGGATTTGGGAGCATTTAGAGCAACAGTGAGTTCCTCGTGTTTTGTTTTGTTAATTTAACGTAGTGGGCAAAATTCAGAGATGAGTTACTCTTAGGGGAGACTGAGCTGATGTGATTGTACCTTTCAAATAGCCTTTCTTTTAGTCCCAGAGTCATCTACGATCCCCACAAATGTGATGTCCCTGCACTTCTTTGGTTTACATCAGAAATGCAGAGCCATGAAATGGAGGTTGCAGAGGGAGCCACTCACATGAAAGGAAGGAATCTCACGGCATTTTCATGGAAGAAATGTAATAATTTGTGCCCTCATTTGGGGGTTTTGTCACACATTATGCCTTGGCAAGTTGGGAGGTATGGGCGTAACATACACATTGAGGTGACCAGAAGATGCTGTAGGATACTTCAACTTTCTGGGTCTCCCCCATGTGTTTGCAACTGAGACTCCCCCAAGATTTAGCATACTAAAGCTCGCACCCACTTATCACCAGGCAGCTTTACACATTGTGGGCTTCTCCTCCCTTTTAGGTTTCCTACAACCTTAATCAGGGCATCATTTCTTTGCCTCCATAATGACACTTGTTCTGATCAAGTTAAATGTGCCATTATTAGCACTTAGTAATCCATTTCCAGTGTCGACCGCACCAAGCTCAGTAGTCCCCAGTCCTGATTAGGGGCATCTGGGTGCCACTCAGATATAAATATTTAATAGTACTACAGTTTCATTTCAGATAGAATATAGGTTTAACAAAATCTGTAATCTGGCCAGTATACAGGAGAAAAGATCCAGATGAAATACAGAACCGACACTTTGTTAATGTCACTGGACTAAAAAAATTGAAGGTTTAGTTCATTATTATTTTTCCTTTTGATACATTTATCATGAATGATGGAAACAAAGGTGTTTTCTTCATATTTCACTTGGTAGGATCTCCC